GTGCGCCGCCTTTAGCCATGTACTTAAGTTCATTAACATCACGTGCGCAGTGCTAGCGATCGCGAGAATTTCATGATTTCATTCGTGATTTTGCGTGACACAGCTCTGTTTCGAACTGAGACATAATATTTCTACAACAAATGAACACTGTTCTTCAATTAGCAGCAAAGATGGAGTCGGAAGGTTGAGTATTTGTGTTGTAATCATGTGAAATGCAGCGAGCGTCGAGCGAATTTTTGGCGCACGCTTTCTTACCTGCTATATATTTAACTGTCGCCGTGCACAGCACACGACCCCTGCGTATATATTTGATTGAAAAGCTTCAAGTGCCTGTGATGTGGTACATCGCTGAACACAGACCAACGGTTTATTATTCCGGTGTTTCGTTCCGAACATGATCATAGTCGAAATCGGACTAATAATGTTTGTCGAAGAATAGAACTGCTGATCATGAACTTTATTTGCCTTCTATCGCCGTGCTATTAGAATCCCGAGCCTTTCCATGTTAGCCATCGAAAATAACGTCTGCCTCGTAAGGATCGGAATTAACACAATCTGCAGCCATATTGCAATGAATGTCATAGTAACTATAACCTCATAAGCTCATAAATATTAGTCTTCAAAGTTCAAGGTACTATATCGAAGACGGAAAGTTGATCAACTAGACAGATCAACACTGAAGATCGCAGTAGAAAAAGCCTCAAATTTGTAATTAAAACTAAAGAGAAGGGGAGGGAATTCAATGAAACTATGAAACTTTGAGCATAATAAGAGAGTTTGCAAGGATAGTAAGCAATATTGACATGATGGGATTTTAGGCTGGTTATTGTTAGCCATAGCTGCTAGATATCTGGATTCTTATACGCATAACCAGTGATTTAAGTTACACGAGAGGTCTAGGGATGTAGGGAGGTGGGTGGGTACAAAGAACAGTTGGGGCATCCCCAATCTTTTATGATGAGGAGTTAACGATACATATGCACAACTTTGAAAGCAGATGAGCCAGCAGTGGCGCCATCGTTGTTGTAAGCAACGATACAGCCGTTAGTTTTAAAACATAAAAAAAAACACATTTCTAATGAATATTGAACAGTGAAATTTTATATTGTAGCTTAATTTTAACCCATTTTAACTGAAAATATGGAAGAACCCCAGGGTCAAGTATCCCTTTAAGGCCACCAGCAACTCATTTGCACTTTTCAACTGTTTGTTCTATGCTCATAGATCTGTATATTATGCACACGACATGCTGTTAGTGTTAATGGAGTGGGTTAGCTAGATGCCGTGTAGTATGAACACATAAATGATAACTTTACCTTTGACCTTCCTGATTTCAACAGAATAATTGGACACAAAGACAAATTGCAGTATTACTTTTCATGAAATCCTGGATTAATGTTGCTATATATATACTAATCTTTCCTGTTCAATGTTCATGAGAATAAAATGACACATTAATTTTTGAAATGGCAAGATTGGGGTTTATTGATATTAATGACTGGCACATTTTGGTTGCGCAGCCTGCTGTTGTCATGGCGATGCATGTTGGTGCTTCTGATGTGTTTTTTTCTCCATTTTTGCACACTTAATGAACATTTCTAATTTTCAAACATTGAATTTATAATAGATGGAAGTATGTAAGCTTTTAATATTGATTAGTTGCAGTTAAATTATGCATAAGATTAATATAATATCAGTTTCAATCTGGGGATTAGCCAAGTCGTTAATACTGGCTATTGTGCCAGCAATCAGGTGCATTTTTGAGTAAAGGTTGTGAAACGAGGTGCAGGATTACTTTTCAGGTGAAAGTTCTGGTTGTCGAAAAGAACACGCCGGTGGCGGCGGTGGTGGCACGTGTACCTCTGGTAACGAGTCAGCTAACGATTCTCTCTCGATGTTTCAGATGACGATGGCGGCCGGGGCGGGAGCGTGCGATGCACGTACCTGCCGGCGCAGGACAGTGTACTGCTGAGCAGCGGACGTAGCGTCGGCCTGCGTCGTGACCTCAACGGCGTGCTGCTGCTGGACTCGGCCCTGCAGGTGCCCGCCGCCGACCCTGAGCATCGGGTCAAGGTCGAACTGACGCTGTCCGACGTGCGTGAGATTCTCTTGCTTGTCCGCGCGCGCGGTTGTTTTTTGTTTTTGTCGATCGGAGACTTTTCTCTGAGTAAAGTCTTCGCTCTGAGTAAAGTCTTCTCTTTGAATAAAGTCTTCTCTCTGAGTAAAGTCTTCTCTCTGAATAAAGTCTTCTCTCTCTGAGTAAAGTCTTCTCTCTGAATAAAGTCTTCTCTCTCTGAGTAAAGTCTTCTCTCTCTGAGTAAAGTCTTCTCTCTCTGAGTAAAGTCTTCTCTCTGAGTAAAGTCTTTTCTCTGAGTAAAGTCTTCTCTCTGAGTAAAGTCTTCTCTCTGAGTAAAGTCTTCTCTCTGANCAAGTGGCCAACGGCGAGCCACGCCAATCCGTCAACACCATGCAACGTCAGTGCCCGATTACGTCAACACAATGCAACGGCTGAGCACGCAATCCGTCAACACAATGCAACGTCAGTGCCCATTACGATCAACCGCCAAATGCAACGCGAGCACGCATATCTCGTCAAACAATGCAACTCATGCCCATACGTCAACGACATGCAACCGAGCACGCAATCGTCAGACACAAATGCAACGCAGGCTGCCCGATACAGGTCAACTGGCAAGCAACGCGAGACCGCAATCCGTCAACACAATCAACGGTCAGTGCGCGAATCCCGTCCAACGCAAGCCAACGCGACCGTGCCGCGATCCAGCCAACACAACGGCAACGCGGAGACGCGCCGATCCATCAGACACCAATGGCACGCAGAGATGTGCGCGTCGCGTGCAACGCAAGGTGCAACGCCGGAGCTGGTGCGCGGAGTCCATGAACACCAAGTGCAGGACGCGGATCCCCGTCGGCAGGGGACGGGCAGTGGCATGCGCGAAGCGCCACGGGAGGTGCCGACCAGCGTCGTGCGCGAAGTCCATGAGGCAGCAATGCACGCCGACGCTGTGCGGCGACTCATCAACACAACTGCAACGCGACGGTGCGCGATCCGGTCAACACAATGCGAGCGACCGTGCGGCGGATCCATCAGACACAATGCAACGGCGGCAGTGCCGCAATCCGTCAACCAGACGCAAACGGTCAGGGGGCCGTGTGAGAGCAGCGCCGAACGATTCGTCAACGGCAGGTGCGCAGACGTTGTGAAGAGTGGGATTAGGGTCGACGTCGGGACCTGTTCCTTGAGACGACGCGCGGCAACGCCGCGCCTACGCCCCGCAGCTGGCACTGCCCCGCCCTGCCCTCCCACACTGCCCCTGACTCGCCTCCGCCGCCCTCCCACGGTTGACCTGTAGTCTAGTGCGGCCAGTTCTTGAACCGACTCGCGTCGGCGCCGCCTCCGAGTGCATGAGCGTCGTGTTCGGCCGACGTGTCCGCCGGCCTGACCACCGGTCGTCATCAGCGCTGCCGAGAGTCGTCAGCGATCCGAGCGGACGCCACGGAGAGCGCTGGGCAGGGCCTTGTTCAGCCGCTTTCAGTTCGTGCATGAGTGCTGCTAGCTGACGGACCGGAGCTCGTTGGTGAGGCCAGCTCCAAGCAGACGACGACCACTGGCAGCAGGGGAGCGGAAAACACACGCATGTACGCCAACGCACGCACGGCTGACGCACGATGGCATGTCACGCCACGCACGCCGATGTACGCTAGCAACGCATGTACGCACGCACGCATGTACGACGTCTTCGCGCACGCACGCATTGCATGTACACTACGTCACGCCTTTATTTAATGAAAAAGAGATGGCTCTCTACGCTCACGATTTTAAAATAATCCAAAAATATCTCACATCCACTAATTACGTGAAAATCCGCCCTTAGATTTTTAATTATCTTCAAATCAATACGAATCCAGAGTATAATTTGGTTTCACATTCACAAGGGGCTCCCATGCCGCCCACGGGCTGCGGACGCCTGCCCACGCGCTCCCTCGACCGCCCCACGGGCTCCCCTCGCCGCCACCGCGCTCCCTCGCCGCCCCACGGGCTCCCTCGCCGCCCCACGGGCTCCCTCGCCGCCCCACGGGCTCCCTCGCCGCCCCACGGGCTGCGGACGCCGCCCCACGGGCTGGGACGCGCGCCCCACGCGCTCCCTCGCCGCCCCACGGGTTTCCCTCGACCGCCCACACGGGGCTTTGCGGACGCCGCCACCACGGGCTTCCCTCGCCGGCCCCACGGGTTCCCTCGCCGTGCACCCACGGGCTCCCCTCGCCGCCCATGGGCGCTTTGCGGGACGCGCCCCACAGGGCTTGCGCACGCATGCGCACCTTACCTTAGCGAGTTTGTGGTTGCCCTTGGAAGCGTTTCGGGCCGGCTCTATCTTCCTAACGAGTTCCTTTCAGCCCACGACGTCGTAGTGCTCCTCCCCTATTAACTCCGTGCGCATGAGCGCGTGGTAAAAATGCATGGCCTGCGCGGGGAGAGAAGCGAAAACACGCTCACACGTCAAGACGCAGAGAGAAGACTACTCGAAGAAAAGACTCAGAGAAAAGACTCAGAGAGAAGACTCACTCGAGATCAGAGGAGAAGACTTTACTCATTAGAGAAGACCTTACTCGAGAGAGAGAAGACTTTACTCAGAGAAAACACTTAACTCAGAGAGAAGACTCAGAGCGAAGACTTTACTCAGAGAAAAGTCTCGATCGACAAAAGACAAAAAAAACACCGCGACGCGGCGCGGAACAAGCCAAGAGGAATCTCACGCACGGTCGGACAGCCGTCACAGTTTCCGACCTTGACCCGATGATCAGGGTCGGCGGCGGGCACTCTGCCAGGCGCCGAGTCAAGCAGCAGCACGCCGTTGAGGTCGACGCAGGCGCACACTTGACTGTCGCCTGTCAGCAGTACACTGTCCTGCCGCGGCAGCGTACGTGATCGCACGCTCCCGCCCCAGTGCCGCCATCGAGTCATCTAGAAACATCGAGAGATGGAATCATTAGCGGACTCGTTGACCAGGAGGTACACGTTGCCAGCCACCGCCATCGCCGCCGCCGCCACCACCGCCACCGCCATCACCAGCCAGCCGCCACCGCACCACCGCCGCGCCGCCGCCGCCGCGCCGCCGGCCCGCCGCCACCACCGCCGCCACCGCCACCAACCGCCGACGCCCGCCACCGCCACCACCTCACCGCCGCCGCCACGCTACACCGCCAGCCGCCGCACAATCGCCGCGCCACCGCCACACGCCGGCCGGCCAGCCGCCCCGCCGCCACCACGCCACCACCGCCGCCACCGCCACCGCCGCCGCCGCCCGCCGCCTGCCGCCGACCGGCGTTGGTTACTTTTCGACAAACCAGAAGCCTTTCACACTGCTGAAACAGTAAGGTCTGCGGCACCTCAGCTTCACAACCTTCACTCAGAAATGCACCGATTGCTGGCACAATAGCCAGTAGGTTACACAACTTGGCTAAATCGCACCAGATTGAAACTGATTTATATTAAATCTTTAATGCTAACGTTAACTGCAAAACTACAGTCCACCGCGAATGCAATTACACCACAGCTTACATACTTCCCATCTAGTTATAAACTTCAATGTGTGAAATGTTAGAAAATAGTTCAGTTAAGTGTTCGCAAAAATGCGGAAGAGGAGACGCCACACATCAGAAGCACCATAATGGCATCGCCATGACAGTTACAACTGCAGGATCCTCTGCCAGCACACAAAATGTGTGCCCCGGACCTAGAATATCCAAAGTCAAACTCTCACCAGTCATGCCATTTGAGAGAGAGCAAGTGAGCTACCTCATCATTGCCCGTCTCTGCTCAGCTTCGAGCTCATCGTTGACGTATCGGGCACTGACGTTGCATTGTGTTGACGGATTGCGCGCTCGCATTGCATTGCGTTGACGGATCGCGCACTCGCGTTGCATTGTGTTGACGGATCGCGCACTCGCGTTGGATCGTGTTGACTCACGTTGCGTTGTGTTGCTTGCAGGTGGGCGCAGCCAGCGCCGATGGCACAGGCAGGGTTCTACTATGCTCCCAACAACCCGGGCGACGACCGAGCGATGTGCTTCACGTGTAACGTGTGTCTCGTCTGCTGGGAGGCCACCGACGAACCATGGTGAGGGGGCTGCTGTTGCCATGAGGTGACATCGCACGGTCGATTAAGATGTGCAGTATCTCATATAGATGCTACTACGACCATGTTTAAGCAGTCGATTACGATGTGCAGTATCTGAGTATATAGGGAGAGATGTACATCTCTCTACTGTGGCCGTATTAGCAGTAGCGAGTCTACGACTGTCGCTCGCGTCACCACGCTCGATTCTTTGTTCATCTTTCCGATTCTTCGTCTTCAGGTCGGAGCATGAGCGACATTCGCCCACCTGTCCGTTCGTGAAGGGAGAGTACACGCAGAACGTTCCACTCTCAGGTACGTCGTCATTAGCTTCCTCGTTAGCGTCATCGTTAGCATCATCGTTAGCGTTGTCGTTAGCATCGTGGTTAGTGGCGTCGTTAGCATTATCATTAGCATCGTCGTTAGCATTCTCGTTAGTGTCGTCATTAGCATCGTCGTTAGCATTCTCGTTAGTGTCGTCGTTAGCATCATGTGAAGCCGACGAAAGAGGAAATGTGAAGGTTGTTCAATGTCGGAGTGCGGGAATTTGTGCGCGGTGAGAAATGGACTAAGGAAACTCGTCGTTAGTGTCATCGTTAGCGTCGTCGTCGTTAGCATAATCGTTAGTGTTGTGGTTAGCGTTATCGTTAGCATCGTTGTTAGCGTCGTCATTAGCGTCGTTGTCGTTAGCATAATCGTTAGTGTTGTGGTTAGCGTTGTTGTTAACGTCGTCATTAGCGTCGTTATCGTTAGCATCCTCGTTAGCGTTGTCGTCGTTAGTGCGGAGATGTTGTGATTGTGGCGCGGTGCAAGAACAACTGTTTCTAACTTTCATTTTGTGATGTTGCAGTGACACATGCGACCAGCCCTGCTCAGGTGCACTCTGAAACCAGCAAGGTAGGTAGAGAGACAAATGTTCTGTAGCTAATAATGGAATATAATCATATTAACAATAATGTTCAGTACCTGTCATCAATTACGTGTGTGTCTCTCTCTCTCTCTC